AAGTTGAGTTCAGTGTGCAAATTTCAGTGTTGAGAGTATAGCTTAATTGTAGAGTACTTGCTTAGCATGTTTAAGGCCCTTGCTTGAATTCTCAGCACTACCAAAAAAAAAAAGGAAAAAATTCAAATTTAAGTAAGCATTCTATAGTTGTAGTTTCAATATGAATTTCATTTCAAAGGCCTTTTCCATGCTATTTATTCTATTACAAGCTGGCCTACATTGAGGGTAGAGGATGATCATCTCAGTCTTTTTTGTAAAGGTCTATGCTATATCTCATAGCCACCATAGAGTTGTCAGATGTTGGGGACATGTAAATGGAGGGGGAAAAATGGTATTTAGCTCTTTTCTTTCACTGTGAATCCACCTCCCTCACTGGCCTTTTGATAGTTGGTTTGAATATGAAATATTTGCCTCCATGTATGTTGTTTGCCAGAAATAGAGGAGCTATGGTAATCTCATGTCCATAGGGAGAAAAATGACCAAAATGGTATGCATTTGGTATATAAATTTGAAATTAGAATTACAAAATATGGAAGACAAGGTAATGGAACATATTTAAGGTCTTAAATTTCTGAAAAACATAAAGGAATGGAGACACTTGGGTAGGACAAAATGAAGAAATCTATAAGACACCATCACAAAGGGGAAAACACATTAGATGTAAACTCCTATAATCTTTTTCCCCCTCCTGCAATGTTGTAATAAAAAAATTACAAAGGCTGAGGATATACTTTAGTGACATAGACAACACCAGCCTAGTATATATAGCTCTCACACAGTGCAAAATTTACCTAAGAAAGGTAACATCTTGCTGTGAGGTATTAAAAGCTATGAAGAAAGGCCAAGAAATGATTGATTTAAGTTTGTGGATTCATAAAGATGACTGAGTACAGAAAGAGGCTCCAGTGACTATGTTTTTACTCCTAGTACTAACAAAAAGGGCACAGCAGAGGCCGCACAGGCCTACAAGGGGAAGAGAGAGAGTTGATCAGGAGACAGATAAGCAAGAAGAAAGCATCTGTCTTAGCATTTATTGGAGTTTTCACCACAAAGGCAAAGCAGGGCATGAAAAAGTTTAGGATCAAGTTTGAATAATTCTCATGGGTAAAGGCATAGGAAATATTACTATTTGTCTTAAGCCTTTCCCTGTGTTGATTTTTGGCAGGGGAAATACTGACTTTATATATTAGTTAGACAAAGCAAGTAGCTGAGAATTTGGCCTTTTGATGGTTGGTTTGAATATGAAATACATGTATGTTGTTTACTATATTGAGGAATAACTTAGCACATTTGGAGGGGCAGTCTCTGCCCAGACCCCCAGAATTTCAGTACATCCCAATATACAGGAAATACAATACATGGTCCTCAGATGGTCTGATGTTACACTAAACAACTCTGGGACAACGTCAAGAGATTTTTCACTGATAAGGAGAAAAATGCCAGGCATGGTAGTAATTCTGGAGACTGGAACAGGATTTGTAAGTTTGAGGCCATCCTCAGCAATCTAGCAAGACTGTCTCAAAATAAAAATAAAAAAAGATTGGTGATGTAGCTCAGTGAGATCGCCCCTGGTTCAATCAGAAGGGAGGAAAGGGGTTTTAAAAAAAGGACAAAGAAAGGAAAGAAAGAAAAGGTGAAATATTGCAGTACTTGTAATAAGTATGTACAGTACTTGTGGGCCTGGCCACAACAAAGTTCTCAGATAACTATGGCATTATTCAAGAAAATAGACCTGAAATGTTGTAAGATCAATAATATTTCTGCAGATTGTAAAAAGTATGATAATAGTATGAATTTGACAGTGATCAAGATGGAAGGCCTGGAATTATACTGTTGTGAGTGTATGAATTCAAACATTAGCAAATTCTAAGTAGAGATAAATGGTTTTGAAACCAAGGGGAAGGAGTCAGATCAACATGGAAAACATGATCAGCAGAATTAACTGGGAAGATAGTGGACTCCCCTTTGGTGTCACTGCATTAATTGACAGCAGCTGCCTCCTGGGAAACCAGAAAAAGTTTTGTCAACTTTCAGAAATGTAGATAGTAACCTCTCTAAGAGGTAGCAGTAACTTCTATCAGATTTTCCTAAAGGTATGGGGTATAGAGCTGTATGTTTTGGCTGACATTATACCAGGATCACAGGCTAAGCTGACAGCAAGCTCGGGCACACAATCAAACCCCAAATATCAAAGTAAGAAAAGCAAATATTTTGTGTGCGATTTGTACCTGAGGAGCACTAGCGCACGGACATTGCTACCAAGAAGGTTCTGGTGAATTTGAACTCATCTCTAGTGCACAGGAGGAAGTCCTCTCCAGTGGCAAGGTCACCAGCAGTGAGTTTCTCAGGCAGGGCAATGTCTGGGCTGTGAACACTATACTGTCATTTATTAATGATACTGTCACTTGGAGACAAGGGGAAGGACGAGGCCAAACTGCACTAGTGATTTCACTCATCACCCACATGTGTTCATCATCAGGCAACTGTGAACAAGTTCCAGAGGTACCTATTGGTCTCATTTCACACAGTAAGGATGGCATCCAAGGCAAATTCATGAGCCATAACCACCCACACAAGGCAGCCCAATTGATATGATCACCTTTATTGTCAATTGCCAACAGGTAATGGCAATAATAGTTGGGCTTAACAGTAATAATCACACCCACAAGAGAACCATTTCATTACCACTCCTCACAAGAAACACATGGAACATGAAAGTGCACAGGTCTCTTCTGTTCAGGATTTATTGTTTAGCATGATTTGGAATACCTCTACAACGGCTGGATTGAAAGCCAAAGAAAGGGCTGCAGGCCTGATGGCAGCCATCAAGGGGCTGAGTTCTGATGGCTACACATGATAGAACCCAAAGTTGCTCAAACTTTAAATTTGGATCACTCAGGCTGAAACCTGATTGTGCTGGTCTGAGAGGCTGCACCCAAGGGCCACATTCAGAACCATGATGGTTTCGAGCACAGTAGAACATGACACCAGTTATGTTCAGTTTTTCTGTTTCCATGTGCATCAAAGGACAAATCCAGAAGCAGTTTGTACTGCCAGTCCAAGCTGTTGCTAACTCAGGCATTTATAAGTGCTTTGCAGGCTATGTAACAGATGCACAGATTAAAGACAACACTCAGGCCTCTCCCTCACTCCCTGCACTGCCAATGTTATAGGAACTTCCATTCTCAAGGGGTTCAAGGGGTCTCTCTCTCTCTCTGCATGGTCATGAAATTGAGGTCTCTCACACTAGTAATTATATACCACTCATCCTTTCTCTACTCACTTTTCTTGCACTCTCACCTTTTATCTGAAAGGATCAGGTATAAGAGAACAAGGGCATTTAACAACATTAAATGTGTTAAAGTGAAAAAGGCTTTCTCATAGTACTTGCACTCCCAAGATTTAGCCTGTTTAAGAGCATGACAAGCCAGGTATGGTCATGCGTGCCTGTCCTAGCAGCTTAGGAAGCTGAGGCAGGAAAATCACAAGTTCAAGGCCAACCTCAGCAATTTAGCAAGGTCCTAAGCAATTCAGTGAGACCCTGTCTCAAAATAAAAAGGGCTGGGGATGTGGTTCACTGGTTAAACACCCGAGTTCAATCCCTGGTACAAAAAAAAAAAAAAAAAGCATGACAAACCTAGGAAAGATTCTATACTGCTAAAATAGTATCGTTTGTATCCCAAAGACCCACTTTTACCTGGTGGCTATCCAGAAGTTGTAGCAACTGAAATGACTGAAATGAAATAGTATTGCTATGGAGGAAAGGAAAGACATATCACTCCAGAATGATCAAGGTAGAATCACAAACGTTTGAAATAAACCAGAACCATTCAGACAGTGGTGTCTGTTGGTGCACTAGATTTCAAGATAAGGGGACCCCAAACCCCTATATTAAATTTCTCTTGGATCTGAATCATGTTTGCTAAAGGTTGACTTTCCAACAGTCTTTTCCTTCATAAAGTTTTCTCCACTATGATGACACAAGTGAAGACCAACATATTTACAGAACTACAACCTTCCCATATATTTTACATCAGAAGTTCTTCCTTCTATTGCAAAGTCTCACATTTAGTAACTTTCTGGGAATTAGTGAAAGATTTTATATTTCCTTCCTTACAATGTGAAGAATCTTAAGGGATTTTTTTGTATTCCTCCCATTGAAAGGGTTTCTTTTCAGTGTGAGTTATTAAATGTTCAGTTAGTAGGTAAAACTTACTGTAGGCTTTCCCACATTCCTGACACTTAAAGGGTTTCTCTGTTGTGTGAATTTTCACATGATGAATTAGGTTTGAGGATGAACTGAAGGATTTCCCACATTCCTTACATTCATAAGGCCTTTCCCCAGTGTGAGTTCTTACATGCTCAGTTCGGCTTGAAGAAGTGGTGAAGGCTTTCCCACAGTACTTACACTTATAGGGTTTTACTCCAGTGTGAATACGAATGTGCTTGGTAAGATAAGAGAAATACTGAAAGGATTTTCCACATACATTACATTCAAATGGCTTTTCCACCATGTGAGTTTTTAAATGGTCAAGTAATAGATTGCATCTATTGTAGGCTTTCCCACATTCCTTACATTCATAGGGTTTCTTTCCAGTGTGAATGATTAGATGTTTACGTAGGTATGAGGAATTGAGGAAGGCTTTCCCACATTCCTTACATATATAGGGTCTCTCTCCACTGTGAGTTCTTACATGTCTACGTAGGTATGAGGACGCATGAAAGACTTTACCACATTCACCACATATAAAGGGTATCTCTCCACTATGAGTTTTTCTTACATGATTATGTAGGTATGAAGAATTAAGGAAGGCTTTTCCACACTCTTTACAAATATAGGGTCTCTCACCACTGTGAGTTCTTACATGTCTACGTAGGTATGAGGAAGAATGAAAGGCTTTTCCACATTCCCTACATATATAGGGTTTCTCCCCACTGTGAGTTCTTCTTATGTGGTTACGTAGATATGAGGAAGTGAGGAAGGCTCTTCCACATTCCTTACATATATAGGGTCTCTCGCCACTGTGAGTTCTTACATGTTGAGTAAGGCGTGAGGATGAAGCGAAGGCTTTCCCACATTCGTTACATTCATAGGGCTTCTCTGAAGCATGTGTTGGTTCATGTGTGGTAAGGCCTGAGCGCTTAGTGAAGGCTTTTCCACATTCCTTACATTTATAGGGTTTTTCTCCAGTATGAATTCTGAAATGTTCCATTAGCCGTGAGTAAGTAGTGAAGGGCTTCCTACATTCCTTACATTTAAAGGGTTTCTCCCCAGTATGGGTTCGCATGTGCCTATTAAGGTTTGAAGAACGTCTGAAGACTTTTCCACAAACCTTACATGCATTGTTTTTCATTGTGCGCATTTGAACAGGCACGGCAGGACTTGTAGAGTGAGTAAAATGCCCTGCTTTCCTTGTATTTTGAGTTTTCATGTGAGTCTTGAAATATGAGTGTTCACTGAAGATTTCTCCACACAGCATATAGTCACAAAGTTCCCCTGCACTGTGGTGTCCTGCCTGTTGATGAAGGGATGAATGATGGTTAAAAGACTTTTCAGACTTATTAATTCTTACCTATCTGCAGACAGAAACAGTATTATGATGATTATTATTCTTACCATTTTGATTACATGCAAACATTCCCTGCTCTGTAAACTTCAAGCTGAATGAAGGAACCCAATTTCAAGGATCCTATGACATCCAGTCTACTCTTGGAAATGACTACTCTATATTTTTATGAAGTTCCTTTAGGAACCTCAGTGCCCAGTTACATGTGTAGGAATGTGTATTAGTGGAACTCTGAAGCCTCATGTTTTGAGCTAAAATCAGGATAAAACCCTAAATTCATCATATTCAGAGTATCTCCCTACTGGGTGAATGCTACTCAAAAATCTCTCATTTATGCTGATTTTCTATAAAGAAATTCCCAATCTTTTGATATTAATCTCCCTTGTTAATATTAGAATTCACCAATTCTATTGCCTTTTTCCTGTAAAACAATGAACAATGATAACATATTTATTTAGAGGATTATTATGATTTTTAACAGCTTCATGACATTCTTATAGTTCCTGGCATGATTTCTTTTAAATTGAATTATGGAACAATAGTGCCAGAACCTTCTGGCATTTGCTCTAATCTTTAAACAACTGTTTAGATATTTACAAAATTGAGGCCATGTGAGGTGGTACGTGCCTGTAATCCCAGTGGCTGAGGAGCCTGAGGCAGGGGAATTATAAATTCAAAGCCAGCCTCAGCTACAGCAGGCACTAAGCAACTCAGTGAGACCCTTTCTCTACATAAAATACAAGAGGACTAGGGATGTGGCTCAGACATTGAGTGCCCCTGAGTTCAATCCCTGGTCCCCTCTGCCCCAAAAAAAAAAAAAAAAAAAAGATATTTACAAAATTAAGCCAGCAGAATGGCATTCACCTAGAATCATAGATACTCAGGGGCTAAGGCAGGAGGATTGTTAAGTTCAAGGGCAACCTGGGCTGGGAATGTAGCTCAGGGTAGTGTTGGCCTAGCTTGCACAGGACCAGGATTCACTCTTTAGCACCATTCCCCCCTCCCCCCAAAATATTCACAATACTGCCTTAAAAGTCAATGTCTAGTTACACATGTGGGACTATGTAATTATGGGATCTCTGAAGGAATAGGTTTTATGACAGACAGGTTTGGGACATGTTAAAAATTCAAATTCATCACCTTCAGAATATACTCCTTCCTAGGTGAATGCTACTTATTTTCTATAAGGGAATTGGCAATGTTCTCTGAGTAGAAAACAACAAATATCCATGTTAATCTTACTGTTTGTATCCCACTGGAAGTGTGTCCCCTCAAAAAATCCTGCTGAAGTGTTGCCTCTTTGGTGTTAAGTAGCATTTTCCATTCTGAAGATAAACAGAAAAATAAAATTAAAGTTTGGAGCAGAAATGGTAGACTTAGGAGTTAAAAATAATAGGACTCATTTATATTTGTTATCAAATTAAAACTGGTTAAAAAGAAAGAAAAGTCTGGAGCTGGGGTTGTCGTTCAGTGGTAGAGTGCCTGCCCAGCATGTGAGAGGCACTGGGTTCGATCCTCAACACCACAAAAACATAAATAAATAAGGGTTAAGGTTAAAAAGAAAAGTTTGACCATTTTGAACTAGGTTAAAACTTTGGTGACAGCTAAAGATGTGAATCACAGTTTTAGACATTTATTAAAAATTAATTCTTTGAAAAATAAAACTGATGGTTAACAACAAAAAATATTATTAGGCATAAAAAGGAGCAAAAATCTGGACATAAACCATATAACAAAATAATAAAAAAGGTCATTTTGTGAGATCACAGGAAAGTCTGAATAGACAGAAAGTGAGCATATGAGAAGTTCTTTACTTTCTTACCTTCTCAGAGAAATGACCTGAAATGTCTGATATCAAGTGCATATTAAAAAGTTCCCCTTAACACTCTCAAATACACTATGTGTCCTTGATGGGGACTGTTATTCATAAACACTCACCTTGGAGATCTCCACTCTGCACAGTCCACAGATCCTCTTCTTGTTCCAACCAGTAGATGAGACTAGGTTTAATGGGCTCACATCCTGTATATAGGGAAAGATACATTCATGAAAGAGTTTCAGATAAAAGATCATTAAACATTATGATCCAGGAACTATATTTCTAACAGATGTAGGGAATCATAAAAGGGCTATGCATGCAAAAATCATCTCTTTCTATGCCCCCAAAAGATCTTTGAACCCTGAAACCCAAACACTAACACCTTGATTCAAATAGAAAATATAGTGAAACAAAAATTACCCCATTGATTCTCACATGACACTGCATCAGAATCATGTGGGTGGCTTGTTAAAACTCACATGACAGGTATCTACCTGGAGTTTCTGATTCAATAGGTCAAAAGAAGAAACTGGTAATTTACATTTCACTTTTGTGGGGGTAGTCCTAGTGATTGAATTTCAGTACCTTGTGCATGTTAGGCAAGTGATCTACCACTGAGCTGGAAATAAAAAATAATTTTTATTTCCCATGGGGTGATGGCAACAATATTCTTCTTGGACTCACATTTTGATAACCACCAATATGTATTAAAATGTACAGTAGTCCCCCCCTATAGTTTTACTTTCATGGTTTCTTACAATCCATCCTATCTAAACATATTAAATATAAATTTCCAGAAAAATATTCACTAGTTTTAAATTGCATACCATTTTGAGTAGCTTGATAAAATCTCATGCTATCCTACTCTGTCCTACAGGGGATATGAATCATCCCTTTATCCATCATATCCACACTCTATATGCTTCCTGCCCATTAAGTCATTTAGTAGCTGTTTCACTTATGGTTGATTATCACAGTATAACATTGCTTGTGTTCAAGTAATTCTTATTTTACTTAACAACAGACCCAAAGAGAATAGTAGTGATGCTGCCAATTTGAAAATGCCAAAGAGAAAACTTAAAGTGCTATATTTAAGTGAAAGTTGAAAGTTCTTGATTTAAAAAGGAAAAAAATATACATGTTTAGGCTGCTAATATCTACAATAAGAAAAAAATCTTCAATCTGTGAAACTATAAGGAAGAAAAAAGAAATTCATGTTGCTTTTGTTTTTGCACCTCAAAACATGATAACTGTTCAGTTCTAAGAACATTTCCAGACATCCATTGGGGGTGTCTTAGAATATATACCTTAGAATAAAGATGGACCACTGTACTAGGGAAGAGACTATGCCCCTGAGTCCTTGAGTTTGTCTCTACTTAATTTATTTCCCAACATAGTCAGAGTTGACATCACTGATGCTGCAGCACAGCAAGTACAGAACACCCATCTTCCCTAAGCTACAAGGAATGATGACAGTCTTACCTACTGAGGCCAGGTTCTGGTAGTTCTCTAGCATCACATCTCTGTACAGGTCTCTGTGCATTTGATCCAATAGAATCCATTCCTCTTGGGTGAAATCCACAGCCACATCCTCAAAGGTCACCAAGTTCTTAAAAAAAGAAAGTCACCAAGTCCTAAAACATTACATACATGCATGCAAGCAAACCTGAGTAACAAGTAAAATAGCAACATTTCCACCAATGTTCACTAGAGAAAGAGGAATTGAGACCAATGCCTACACAGGGATCTGAGGCTTCCATTGTCTACCAAGGCTTTCGTGGTCCTAGGAACTTTTTTCTCTATCTACACTCAATTTAAGGTTGATCTTCCTCAGTCATGTGGCTTTAATGGCTCTTCTGGCACCTGAACTGATCTCACCACAACCAGAATACAAGTCCTTTTCTTATTTTGTACTATTAAAGTACATTCCTGGAGGCTGGGGATGTAGTTCAGCAGCAGAACACTTGACTAGCATGTTTGAGGCCTTGGTGTCCATACCAGTACCACACTTGAGCCTTTAATCCCTGCTTCTTGGGAGGCTGAGGCAGGAGGATTGCAATTTCAAGGCCAGCCTCAGCAACATAAGTGTGAAGATTAATTCATAATTACTGAGATAATGGGATGATTTTTAGGTAACACTTCACCAATACCAGAGGCTCCACTCTAGAAATTCAGCTGGAGACTGAGTCCTTGAGTTTGTCTCTACTTAATTTAAGAAACTTTGAAGATATATCTGTCTAAAAATGTGCCTACCTGTAAAGACAAGCTGGTCATTTTGTGAGACATGGTGTCTGCATACCTGATAACAATTTGTCAGACAGTCTGCCACCATGCTTTCTGTCTTACTCTTTTCTTGAAGAAGGCAGACTGGGCCCCTAGACAGAAGAAAGCCTAAAAAAGAGAGACAGAGAGAGAGCATGAGAACCCAGAGCTGACCACAATTCTTACTCATATGTCAGTAAATTAGTCCACTTTAGCATGAAACCCCATATAATCTAACACACTCTACATACAGACATACAATTGCCATACAATGTCAGAGTAGTCCTTTCTACCTAGAGCCAATAGAAGGGACGATAAACTATGCTGCCCACCAGGAAAAGACAACAGTCTCATTTTACTAGGAAGACATTTCAGGCCAGGGGAGATGTGACACTTTATTTCTCCATGGTGATAAATGACATGAGGGAGATTATGCAGCACCTCTTTTCAAAAGACACATGCTAGGGAGCTGACTTCATAACCGCATTCTCTAGCCCCCAGGGTTCCCCCTAAATGAACTAAACAAGATAGAGTGACTGCTCCAGCATTGACTCTACATTATACGGGGGGGGGGGGACCTAAATCAGATAGCCCCTAGGCTATATCAAATCCCCATTCTTTCTAATAACATAGTCCCCAGAGAACTTGGCATTGCAAATGAAATTTTGTAGGTGTTCAGTGGTTTGGATCTTGTAAAGACATCCCTCAAAGATTCCACTCCAAAAGATTGCACCTCATACAAACTACCAGCCAAAATAAAGGGGTGTGACACTCTATAGACCTTTTGAATTCTAGATGCAACATTTCAAAACTTGAATGAATTTTAACATATCTTACGGCTTTCAGTTTCAAATAGAGACAAGAGAAAGTTAAAGGTACAGTAGAAGCCTCTCAAGCACCTGGTCCACATTATCAGGCAGACCCAATAATCCTCAAAGTGTCCATGGGTAAACAGTGTGAACTATTGGAAGCCTCTAGCAAGCACCAACAGGAGAATCATACAACAGACCTTTGGTACTTGTAAGCAACTCTGTGCGCGCTCTCTCTCTCTTTTTCCCAATGCTGAGGATATAACAAAGCTTAAAGAATGCTAGGCAAGCATTCTACCAGAGTTACAGCCCTCACAATTATCCCTTTTTTGAAGATAACTATTCTATTTTTAAGAGACATGCTGTCAGTACCTGGAAGAATAACCATGGACATTAAGTGATTAAAATAGAACTGAGGGAGCTGGGGTTGTAGCTCAGTGGTAGAGCGCTTGCCCAGCACAAGAGGCACTGGGTTCAATCCTCATAACAATAAATAAAAGTATTGTGTCCCATCTACAACTAAAAATATTTTAAAAAATAGAACTGAGTAATTCAAGAGCACATGGCCCAAAAAGCATAAATTACTTACTGTCAACCTCTATCAGTTTCCAAATCTCTTTTATGGAGCCAATAACAAGTTCATAGAAAATAGCAAGAAATGGAGGAATATTTAAACATTCTATGAGAATGCAATCGACATCAAATTGTGTGACTTCCTCAAATAACCTATGACTCTTCAAAAGTCAACATAACAGGGGCTGTGAGTTTAGCTCAGTAGTAGAGCTCATGCTTAGCATGTATTAGGCTCTTGGTTTGATCTCCAGATCCTCAGTTCCAAGAAGAAAAGAAACAATAGAAACCACTCTAAATGAAAAGGCACTAAAAAACATGAATAATTGCAACATATAAACTTCCAATGTATCTGAGATCCAAAAACTCCCAACTCTAAGCAGTGTATGTTGGAATAGTGTGGAAAATTTCAGTTGTTATACAAAACAAACTTTAGATGACATTATTATTATTTTTATTTTTTGGTATTGGGGATTGAACTCACGGGCATTCAACCACTGAGCCACATGCCCAGCCTATTTTGTATTTCATTTAGAGACAGGGTCTCACTGAGTTGTTCAGTGACTCGCCTTTGCTGAGCTGGCTTTGGACTCACTTATCCTCCTGCCTTCGCCAACCGAGCCGCTGGGATTACCGGCGTGTGCCACTGCGCCTGCCTAAATGACATTATCATTTTTAACTTTGTTACGGTGAAACAGTATTGTGGTAAGTAAGGCAATGCCCTTATCTTTAGAAGATGCATTTCCGAGTATTTAAAGGAAAAGTTTCATGTTCTCAATTTATATTCAACGATAATTTATATTCAAATGATAATTTACCAAGAAATGTTCTTAATTTCCTGAAAAGTGGGCAAACATGCACAATGCTAAAAATTGGTACATCTGCCACTATATTTATTACATATGTTAATTCGTATTTTTTGAAAGAAAAATGTGAGGGAAAAAAAACATGCATGCATACAGGAGGTGGGGCAGAGGGCTTACCTTCAAAGCCCGGTGTTCAATTCCTACTACCACAGAATAACCTGAACAACAACAACACATGCTGTAATGAATTCAATTATTCTAGCACCACTGATAAAGCTGCCATCTCTTTTTCCTGGCGGCCCCCGTTTTGAAGCTCTGTGGGGACGTACAAGCTTTGGAACTTCGGAAGAGAAACCTGTATCTATGCAGATACAGGTTTTTCCAGTAAGAAAACCTGTATCTGCATAGAAGTAGTCGCACCCTAGACACCTAAAAATCTACATTATCTTTCTATCCGAATGTCATGTATAAACTAAATACCGTCAAAGACAATGCCAAACTTTCAGATAAAACATTCTTTTAAGAAAGAAGTAGAGGCTCTTGTGAACCAACTTGTACCCAATACTGACCTGAACTCGCCAGAATGCCAATCCGTCAGGAGAGTGGGCACTGAGTCTGGAGCCAACGTTACTAAATCGCGGAAATTCTCTTCCCTCTGGGAAACGATTTCGGAAAGACTGCTTCGCAGGCTTTGGAAAAGAGGAGCGCCGCGGAAGAAAGCACCGGAGGGCGCGCCCCGGCCACACTTCCTGACCCAGCGCCCCCCGGCGCCTCTCGGACCCGAGAGCCGGGAAGGATGCGCGGCCCTAGGCACGCCAGCGAAGCCGGCCTGGTCCCTTTATGGGGGTCCGCTGCCACCCAGCTGCCACCACTGGGAGACCCCGCACGCAGAATCCACCCTAGGCGGGGAGAGGTGCACCATGAGGAAGGCACTTGACACTACGCGGCGGAGCCGGCGCCCGCTGACGTCACTTCCGCTCTCAGGCTTCGGCCTTCAAGGGGGTTCCTCAGGCATCAGCCACGTCGAGCCACGTGGCCCGGCCAGGCGCGGACATTCTAACTTCCTCTCCGGGGAGGATGAGGCTGACACACAGGTCGTTTCGTTGCAGGAGGCAGAACCCGGCGCGGCGGCCGAGGGCTAAGTGAGAGCCAGGCCTGGGGGTGGGGCTGGGGGTGGGGCCAGGCCCGTGCCGACTCCGCCCACAGCCGCAGAGCCCGCTGCTGCTTCACGTAGAAGCGTGGCACGGCTTTTCCGTTCTCTCTTTGTGGGTCTTTATGGTTCCTTAATTCATTAACTTATCTGAATACCATGCAAGACTCTAATAGTTTATTCCTTTGTGTTTTCAGTGTAATCATATTTTCTGCAAACTTATTTTTTTCTTGTTATTTTTGGATTTTGCCAGAGGGCCTGGGACCTCCCCCCCAACTCCCCGGCCCCCATGCGACAATTCAAAATAACCACTAATATTACCGAGTATTCTCCAAGAGTTATTCAGAAGTGTGACGTAACCCCAACAAGAATGCCAACATTTTTTAAAAGCAGTTAGGCATATTGATACTTATGTTAATATCGAAGAACAAATATCTGATGATAAACAAAGAAACACTGAAAAACAAAATGGATGATAACCTACAGATATTAAAAAAAATATTAAAAAGCGAGGTGATAAGCAACTCAGTGAGACCCTGTCTCTAAATAAAATAAAAAATAGGGTGGGGATGTGGCTCAGGGGTCCAGTGACCCTGAGTTCAATCCCGGGTACCCTCCCCCAAATATTATAAAGCCTCTGTAATTAACAGTGTATGGTACTTACATATGAACAGGAAGCGGATAAATAGAATGTCTCCAAGTAAATTCAATAACATGGAAATTTGATTCAAGTATATTCTAGATCAATGGAACAGAAATGCACTTTGGAATGAAAGGTGCTAAAACAACTGGTAAACCATCTGGAAAAAGATGAAATTAAGCCTGTTCCTTTTACAATATACAACATTAAACTCCAAATGAATCTAGAATCTAAATGTATAAAATAAAACATACGCATACGTAGGGTATTTCAGTGATTTTTTTTCTTTTTTCTTTTTTTTTTGCTATTAAGGGGAAAAAAATGTAACCAGGAGGTGGCAGTAGTAAGGAAAATGATGTAACCAGGAGGTGGCAGTAGTACACAAGCTTTATTTGGGTAGTGCTTTGGCAGGCGAGAAGTTGATCCTCTGTGCCCAATGGGTTTCATGACTGATAAAATTAGACAAGCCTATAAAGTAAAACATAACCATTTTCCTCTATTGTCTATTAGGTATACTTTTGGGTTGTATGAAGCACAATGTTTAAATTTAGTGGGAGGAAAATATATACATGGCTATTCATATATTTTCTTTTTTTGAGGGGGACACTGAGGATTGAACTCAGGGACACTTGACCACTGAGCAACACCCCCAGTCCTATTTTTCTAGTATTTATTTTTTAGTTGTAGTTGAACACAATACTTTTATTTTATTTATTTATTTTTATGTGATGCTGAGGATTGAACCCGCAGGGCCTCGCACATGCTAGGTGAGTGCTCTATCACTGAGCCACAACCCCAGCCCTCTCCAGCCCTATTTTGTATTTTATTTAGAGACAGGGTCTCAATGAGTTGCTTATCACCTTGATTTTTTACTGTGGTTGGCTTTGAACTCTATCCTCCTATCTTAGGCCCCAGGGCCTCCGGGATTAAAGGCGGGCACCTCCATGCTTGGCTCCTATATATTTTTTTTTTTAAATAGAGAGTGAGAGAGAGGGGGACAGAGAGAGAGAGAGAGAATTTTAACATTTATTTATTTTTTCTTAGTTCTCGGCGGACACAACATCTTTGTTTGTATGTGGTGCTGAGGATCAACCCCCGGGCCGCACGCATGCCAGGTGAGCGCGCTACCGCTTGAGCCACATCCCCAGCCCCTCCTATATTTTCTTGTGTTAAAATATTTTCCATATATATATATATATATATATATATATATATATATATATATATATATGTAATCTATTTAATTACCTTGCATCTTTGCTCCCTATACCTAGGGGTTTTAAAGTCACTAAGTAATCATACCATTATATTTGCTTTACCTGGCATTAGCTAACTAAGTTTGAAATTCCTTTTTTGTTTTCGCTGAGCTCCTGGCCACTTAAAGCGGCAGTCTTCCTTCCACCCCTTACTTTTATTTTATTTGTTGTAGTCTTCAAGGGCTAGAGCCTAGGTCTTTAGTTTCTCTAGCTGATAAGAGTAAAAGAGGAGAGAGACAGGGATCAGGTGTCTCTTGACAATTGCATCCTGAAATGGCCCCTGTCTACAGGACCACAGAATAATTAGCATCCCACATATCCCCTTATATTTTTAAATTATTTTATTTGCAACCTAGGGCCGAGCTCCTGCTAGGCAAGTGCTCTTTTACTTAACTACATCCCCAACCTATCCCCTCCTTTTAACTTTAAGGGTCTAAGAAATCTTCCTGATGATGGTACCCAAAGATTCAGTGTCTATTGAGGGCCTGCCTGTGGGAGGCAGACATAGCATGTGACCAGTGTTTGCCTCCCCTTTTGATCAGTGTGGCACTGTAGGTCACCCTGTGATCTGGTTGCTTAAGTAACCAAAGATAGTAGCCCCGATCTTTAGGGTTGAGAAAACGCAAATGTGTCTTTGTGCATGGGCACATCCCCAGGGATCCCCAGGGATCGAGCTACCCTCACCTGTTCCTTTGTGATATTAACCCTTGCCCTGTTTGGGATAGAATGTTCCATGGAAATTTGTGCGTCCCCTTCTCTTGCTTTGCCTTTGAGAGTGGCCTTCCTAGATGTCAGGCAGCCTGCTGACAGCAGGCATCATGAAGTTAGACTCAATCCTCTGAAATCTGATCCCTTGCCTCATTTGAATGGCTTCTCCTCCATAAAAGGGATCAGGATGCACTCTTTCTCTTTCTGCGGACCCTTAGTGTCAGAAGAGCTGTCTCAGGACCCCCAAAGAAAAAGGTATTTCTCTCTCTTGTGTGGTTATTTCAGGCAGCCCAGTTCCCCTGGAGTGACCCCTGAGTGTTTTAGTTGCATGTAACACATCCCTGGGTGGCAGGTGTGAGTGTTTAAGTCGCCAGGAATGTGACACCTGCCCTTTGCTTCCAAGATGGTGCCTATTGCCATATCTTCAAATGGCAGATGGGCAAAAAAGAACAAATATTGTCTTCACAATGCAGAAAAGTTGGAAGGGATGAGAAGGACAAATGTTTTGTCCTCATAAGGCAGAGGAAATGGAAGGCCAGATGGCTCTCTGTAGTCTCTTTTACAGTTTATTAATAACACTGTGGGGGTGGAACCCTTATGACTTAATCATGTCCCCCAAAGACCCTCATCTCTAGATACCATCACAATGTGAATGAAGAGCAAATGGTGAAGGTGGGAAACTTATCCCTTTGTTTCTGCATTCCTCTGCTTGAAACCCCTGTTAAATTCTCATGGAAGTGTTAGGTATTGAAAAAGACAAACCCCAGAATAATGTGGCCTGGGGAGAAGGAGTGAAGGAGTCACTGTCTTTCCAAGTGACAAGACAGGCCCTGGGGAGGAAATTTCCATCCAGTTTGAAATGACAGTTTCTGAGAAGAAGCCAAAGCATTGATCCCACCCTAAACTGACCCCCACCAACCATCTGGCCCAGTAAAGATAAATCCTGGGTACTGACCACTGACCCACATCCACTAACCCCACACCTTCCATCTGGCCTAGTAAGGATAGCCCAAACTGACACGTTCATTATTGATTCACCTCTCAGTGTAACCATATAAGCCTAACACCCACCCCACTTTGGCCAATGGCTCATTTTCCACCAGGAAAATGGGTCAATCAGAGGCATCATTCCATTCCTGAATAAAAGCTGTGCTGGGCTGGTTTGTAAAGTTTGCATCTAGCCCAGTCCTCTTGCACTAACAGAAGGAAATAACATTTCCCTCAAGATGCACCACAACTGCCTGCAGCTGCCACTAGTCATAACCAGTGCAAAACCCAGAGGCACAAATGTATAACATCAAGCAAAAGAAAAAAGCTCACATAATAAATTAATTCCCATTGTGGTAATATATGTCATAAGAAAAACAAGAGACATGTATGAGAAGGGATTCTAAGGATGTTAGATCAAGAATTGTGGAATATAACACTAGACAGGGCCAACTATTGAAATAGGAAAACAACAGGATTTCATATATAAGCTCATGGACCTGGGTGCTGCCTTTAACTGTTAAATTGTTTGGATGACTTGAACTTAAACTCAGTGGTGACCTACAGTGAGTGGGGGTGATATGCCAAAGAGATTCCCTGGCATAATATGAAGGAAAGTATCCTAGAGGTATAGGAATGTTGTACTGAATTTTTTTCTTTTTGGTGGTACTGGGAATTGAACTCAGGTGTGCTTTTTCACTGAGTTGCATCACCAGCCATTTAATTTTTTTTTTAAATGTTTGAGACAGGGTCTTGTTAAATTGCTGCGGCTGGTCTTGAACTTGAGATTCTCCTGCCTTGGTTTCCCTAGTTACTGGGATTACAGTCATGCACTGCAACTAGGTTTCCCTAGTTACTGGGATTACAGACATGTCCAGCTCCTAAATTTATTATGTGATCAGCACTGCCTTCCTTAATTAGCCTATATGGAGAACTCAGAAGGCACTGTCTTCATAAAGGTATTCAGAAACGGATCAGTGATGGGAGAACTTCTATCCTTGAAAAGCTCTGTGTTTACACTCCTTTATATACCAGGTATGACTGAGATATTTTCCCCAATTTCAGTGCTGCTGATGAGAACCCATATTAGCAGAAATCAAGTGAACAGCCCTTAACCATCAAAGACCATAAGGCCACATCAGATGTCTTGGGCAGGTGGAACTTACTAGTAATAAAAATACTTTGGCCTACAGAGCTCAATGGTGGTGGCAAGATTATCAGTGTCCCAAGGATTATCATCAATAAGAGGACACATTGACAATATTTAGAGAAATAGTAAACACAGGTTTAGGGTCACATGTAAAATTAGGGCTAAAGTCAGTCAGTTGAGTATTCTTCCTTAGGATGAAAGTGAAGATAAGGGCTGTGGATGGTGTGGTGGTAGAGCAGAGCACTTGCCTGGCCTGTATGAGGCCTTGGGTTTGATCCCCAGCATTGAAAAACAAAAGTGAAGAGGACATTGATTTTCCTTTTGTAAACGAATGCCTAGCAATTAAACTAAAATCTGTTCCTTATTAAAGAATAGTCTTTAAACAAATTTTTAAAAATTTGATTCAGGGGGCTGGGGTTGTAGCTCAGAGGTAGAGTGCTGGCCTGGCATGTGTGAGGCAGTATGTCCAATCCTCAGCACCACATAAATATAAAATATTGTGTCCACCTATAACTAAAAAATATTAAAAATTAAATAAAAGTTGATTCAGAAATTGCCTATGGCACAATATATGTGGAAAGAAAAACATTCATGTATGATGAAATTAAAAATATATACTTTTACCTAGATATCCCATCTTAAAAACTTGCCTTGAAAATAAACCACCACACATGTTTAAAAAAAATTGAGAATTTTATTCACTGCAGGTGACTCTTGGCTGCTCAAAAAATAAACAAGGTTATTGGGGGATAATATGCTTATTGGGGGATATGCTCTGAATATTAAAATAGCAACCTACAAATCACTTTCTTATTCACAAGGAAAAGTCTATATTTAAAATAGAGTTCTCTGATGGTCAATATTCTAAGCAAGTATCAAACATAGTATCACTAACCAAGGACAATAAAATGTACATCTTACTGATGATATGTAATCGCAAGTACAAAATATTTTGCAAATGAACTTCTGAATTCTCAAAATCAGGAGTTGGTTTACTCCTTACATTCATTGGGTTTCTCTCCAGTGTGACATTGTTCCTGTACTAAAAAGAAATCAGAGTAACTGAAGGCTTTGTGGCATTGTTTACATTCATAGTTTTCCACCACTGTGGAATAACATATGACTATTAAGGTATGTAGAAAACAAACATTCCCACCTTCCTTATATATCTATAGTTATTGGGCTTTGTGAGTTCGTATGTGATTATTGCGACTTGAGGAATATGTAAAGACTTTCCCACATATCTTACATTCATAAGGTTTCTCTCCTGTGTGAGTCCTTTGATGTACAGAAAGATTTGAGTAATAAGCAAAGGCTTTCCCACATTCCTTACATTTATAGGGATGTTCTCCAGTATGAATTCTTACATGTCTGTTTAAGTCTGAAGAAGCAGTATAGGCTTTCCCACATTCTTCACATTTATAAGGTTTCTCTCCAGCATGAGTTCTTATATGTTCAATAAGGCAAAAAGATCTAGCAAAGGCTTTCCCACATTCTTTACAAACAAAGGGCTTCTCTCCAGTGTGAGTTCTTATATGTGCAATGAGGCAAGTGGATGTGGTGAAGGCTTTCCCACATTCCTTACATTCATAGGGCTTCTCTCCACTGTGAGATCGTACATGTTTAGTAAGGCCTGAGGATTGAGTGAAGGCTTTTCCACATTCATTACATTTATACGGTTTTAGTCCTGTGTGAATTTGAATGTGTTTTTTAAGGTATGAAGGATTTCCAAAGGATTTTCTACATTCCTTACATTCATAGGGTTTTTCTTCATTATGAATTCTTACATGTTTAGTTAGGTATGAAGAAACAGTGAAAGACTTCCCACATTCCTTACATTCATAGGGCTTTTCTTTACTGTGAATTCGTACATGTTGAGAAAGGCCCCAATACTGAGCGAAAGCTTTCCCACATTCTGAACATTTATAGGGTTTTTCTCCAGTGTGGGTTCGCATGTGCTTATTAAGGTAAGCAGGATATCTAAAACTTTTTCCACATTCCTTACATCTATAGGGATTTTTTACATTGAGACTTTCTATATGCATAGCAAGGTTTGTGGATATAATAAAACTGCTCCCATATTCATTCCATTCACAGAGTTTTTCTTCACTGTGAGTTCCCATAAGGGCCTGAAGGTATGACTGATTCATGAAGGCCTTCCCATAGTCACTACAATCAAAGGGTTTCTCTTGTGTGCATGGTCTCTTATACGCAACATTTGGAGTTGGGCTGAGGGTTTTTCCATGTTCATTAAACTCAGTAAGTTTATCTCCAATAGAAGTTTTCATGTGCAGAGTAAGGAAATCTTTTCCATACTGATCACAATCATAACTTCTCCCTACATTTTGAACTCTCATGTGTGTCTTGAAAAATGAATGTTCATGACAGACTTCTTCAGGTTGGTTATAGTCATAGAGTTCACCAACACTATTGCTTCTTCCCTGTTGATATGTGGACAAATACTGATTAAAGTATATCATTTTGAGGATGATAATGATTCTCCCCCATTGTGTTACATTTATATAGTTCCTGTCTTTTT